AAAAAATCAATAAAAAGTAAATAAAAGAGCTATAGAAATAAAAAAAATCATATTAGTCTGAAAGCTATCTTTTGGTTATATATTTGTTTTTTATAATCATCAAGGATTCCTATACTTAGCTTTTCAGAGTGTCAGAGAAAGGGATCACAAAGTAAGTGGTACCTTTCCAGTCTCTGGGCATAACTGTAGTGACAGTAAATTTCAAAAAGAAGAGAATATTTTCTGACTTGCATTTTCCTTTACACTTTCCATGTTAGAGATAGGTTTCTCTATTAAGATGTTGGCATGGGAATTGTGTGGGATAAAGTCTTGATGTCACCTCACAACTTGTTTTAAAAATGGTGCGACTGCTTTGCTCTTAATCTATATTCTAGAGTCCATTTTCAATGGACTGTAACATGCTACTCATTAGTGGACATATTTTTACATTATCATTATATAATAATGCCATTACATTATAATCACATCCACTATACAATCATTTTGAAAAGATATCATGATCTAATATATTGGCAGCATTAAATAATATAGCTTTGAAAATGTGTAAGTATACAAAATTCCACACGTACTCCTTTATACCATATATTTTAAAATAAATTTAAAAAATTAAATTCTATAGCTATTAAAGGGCATAAAAGCAAATCTGATTGACTGATTTAAACTGGGAAATACTGAATCACATGAATAGTAATTCGTATAGTCTCAAACAATAGCTTAGAAAAGGTATGTTTCAATTTTATTTGCTCAAATTTTAAAAAAATTATTGCAGTATATATACTAATCAACTTGATAATAACATGAATGTGTTTTTTGACATGCAAGTGTTTTCTAGTTCCAGCTTAGACTCTGTTAGCTAAAGTACATAAAGAAAATAAAAGCAGCCGTTTATTGCCATCTGTTTCAGAACTGGCTAATGGAGACAGGGCTTTAAACAGGGGATTTTAAATTCATGAGCGAGACTTTTGCCCTGAAGTAGTGTGCAGCTGAGGTCCTCTAGTGTCACAGCTGGGCATGGCAACAGCTTTCCGAGTTTTGCAGTGTGCATGTGTTTGTGTGAGAGGGACAGATTGGGCTGGGGAGAGAACATTTGCAGAGAGTCTTACTTTAAAGTTGATTCAGAGCTCAGAAAACCAGGTTTTTATGTCTTACTAATCAATCTCAAGGGAAGTTGTTTTCCTAAAAGGATTTACATCTTTCCTATGTATGTATTAATATAATACTGGCTGTTTTCAAGTTTGGTTTATTTTTTTAGGATATTTTTGAAAACTGTTAATTTCAAATGATTCTTACTTCACACATGCTCTACTTGCCATTTTAACATGGGCTGTTTGATAAAGGGAAGTAGTTTGCAGCTCAGCTTAATAAGCATTCTCTATACATAGTAACCTTTACTGTTTCTTGTTCACAGACTTCATGGAGAATGTCAACTTTCTGCTTTATTTTAGTGTATACCTGACGCCCACAGATGATCGGACACACTTGAGGAAAAAGTAGTTTGAAACAGAAACAAAGGAGAATACAAACTTTAGCCATAACAAATGAAGATACATACATTTTTTATTTCCTGAATTAAAAGGATTCCAATAACTATCCTAAGAGAAACTCAGAACAATACTGTTTCCCAAAACAGAACCTATTGAAAAGAAGTAACTAGAGAACCAAGCAGCAGTCCTAGGAATTAAGCAATAGAATAGAGATAGGACTAAGTTCCTCTCCAAGGAAGCAAAATGGAAAGTTGACATAAAGAACAGATTCTCTTTCATCTGCCCACGAAGAATTTGGACTAAAAGGAGAATGTCCCTTTAGACATGGTCGGCCACATTTGCCTTTGTTGTGTTTCTGTGTTAACATGAGTCTTAAGCATACTGGGGCACACTTGGTACTACTAAGAAATGCAGAATTGCCCACATGTTGAGTTCAAATTTTGTAACTCTAAGGGTAACGTTTAAAAAAAAATTCCTGAAATCTTCCAGAGGAAATAACTTATGTCTACAGCAAAATTAGAGACAGACAGATGTCAGGCTTATGGCTGTTAATAATGAACACCGAGGACAGCGGTGGCAAGCTTTCTCAGTTTAAAGGCAAGAATGAAATACTTGAAAATGAGCTATGCTTTAAAAATGTTGTACTCATGCCACTCTTAGGAAACATGGTTGCATGGGTATTTTATAGCTTAATTAGAAAAATACAAATTATGCATGAGGTACAACAAGTGATGGTCGCTGGGGATAACCTTTGAGAACAGAGTTATAAAGTGATAGTACCCATTAAATCCTGGTGACACATTTTCTCTTGAAGGCCGGGGCTCAGGGCTTAGGCTGACACTTCCTTCTCTGCTTGGTACAGCCTCGCACCACCCCTCCCGTGTCTGCCAGAGGGAAAACTTGAGCTCTTGGAGAGGCAGCAGGCTGACAGGTGTGCTTCCTTGCTACCTCTCACCACTTCTCCTCTAGGTCTCCCCACTGCTTGTACAGGGCTGACCTGCTGAGCCCTCTTGGGATTCCCGGCCTGTGTGAGAACCCCCCTTTCCAGAGAGCTGCACTCCTTCAGACTTAGCACCCCTCCCTTCACCTTCATCACACTGATAGACAGTAGCAACTTCCTAGCCATGGTCTCTCTTCTTTTCCTGCTTTTGATCCTTAGCACTGAATCACTATGTATCTTATTGTATTGGGTGTTTACTTGTTGATTTGCTGGGGACAGAGGGAGGAAAGAAGGAGTAAGGAGAAGAAAGAAAATAAAAAAAAAAAGGAAGGGAAGGAAAAAGAAGTAGTTTGAAATGGAAAGTAAGCCCAGGTCTAGCTACCAAAAAAATATGCTAGAGTTATTTTTCAGAGACTCGGGTAGTGAGCAGGACAGGTGGTTTCCATGATTTAGTTCCACCAGAGCCGAACACACCACCAGAATGAAGCTTCCTGAAATGACAGATGTTCCAAATGCTTTTCGGAAACCATAGACTCTTTTTTTAGATCAACTTTGTCACAGTGGGAAAATCCAAAATATGTACCAATGGATATTTTAGAAAATGCATAAATTCTGTTTTCTATGAATAGAGAAGTATAAGAATATATGTTTTTCACTGAATTTGACCACTAAACTTCATTTCATTCCTTAGTACAGGTCGTAAACCTTCTTTGTGCTTGATCTATAGTCACCTGTGACCATTTGTTTTCTCTGTAGCTGTTCAAAGGTATTGTGCATTGCCTTTGAGGTACTTCAGGGCTTGCAGTACATGAACAAACACGGCATAGTACACCGGGCACTGTCTCCGCACAATATTCTTTTGGACAGAAAGGTAACGTCAAGTAACGTTTAAACATGTGCATGTTATTTCAGGTTGGAAGCTCTGAATTCAAACCCACTCAACTAATCAGAGGGTCTATGGAGCAAGAATGTATATTAAGACAATTCATAGTGAAAAGACTAAGAAAGTGGTGTATATTCAGTTGTTAGGAAAAAAGTCTTTAAAATATTTAAAATTCATGTTTTTCACATGCATTTTCTTTTTACCCCAAGACTGATTTTTTAACTTCTTATTTTTTTCTTTCACTCATTTTGCAGGATACAAATTCTAGCTTCCCAATCTACCTCCACCCCCAAATTTGCTTGAGTCTTAAGAAAGCTTCTATAATTCTTTACATAAAGTAGTCCAGTAGCACAGCTGCATTGTATTTTTCTTTATTCTTCTTCCCTCCTCTTTATTTTATTCCCCATTTATCTTCCTCTCCTTTCTTTACCATGTATTCATGTCAACTTCTTGATTTATTAAATGTTGCTGCTTTGCTTGGGAATCTTATGTGAGATTAATAAGAATCTTGTCAACACTTGAAGAGAATCTTGGGTACAAAGTGGTATATTTTAAGATATAAATTCATTCTGAAAGACTTGTAAAATTTACATTTGCTTTTTACTGAAAACTGTACTTCTCTGATAATTATGATCACTCTGAAAATAGTACCAAAACATTGTTAGGACTCTAGCAGATTCATTGATTTTTATTTTTATTTTTTATAACACTAAGTAAACTTACACTTGCCTGAAAATTACCATAAAATATTCCATGTAAGTATCCAAGACAACGAAAACATTTTTGCTTTTTTTTCTATATCTAAAAGTCTGCAAAATACAAATAAATATTAAAAAGTTGAAAGTGATAGTTATCATTTTGATATATAAATATTATGAGTATCCTTATATACATCTATATCTATATATACAGATATATACCCACACATATACATGAAATGAGTGTAAAGCAGAATTTTAATAGTGGCAAATCACTTTTAATAAAATATTATAAGTTAAAATATAATTTGTTGGTAATATATCTGACCATATCATGTTTTCTTATTTATAAAAGGTATAACATTTTCTCCCAGTAACATTATGTATTACATGGTGATTTTTTTTTTCTTATTGTAGGAACATGTGAAATTATCTAAATTTGGACTTTATCACATGACAGCTCATGGTGATGATGTTGACTTCCCAATTGGGTGAGAACATTTTTTCCCTGTTCTGTGTTAAACTTAGTAATCTTTGATAAGTTGTATATATATTTTGGTCATTATTAGTGATATGCTTTTGACAAAAAATAGCTTTTACTTATTAACATTAATGAACATATAATCCCCTTATTCTTTAAGGAAGAGTACATAATGAGTTTTTCCTAGACCTCTAATGTGTAAGTAAATAAATTACTTTCACTAATTGATAGAAGACTAACAGATTATAGACCTTTTTCATCTTAAAATGCTGATGAATTTATTTCATTGTATTCAAAATTCAATAAATGTAAGGCAATAAGACTGACTATATTCCTATAGAGTGATTATACTTTTCCTCCAAAGATTGAGAAAACTCACTCGTATTTTCTGTTTTTTCAAAGTTCAATTCCCAGTTCCTAAGATATCATTGTATATTAATAGTAAAGGCAAATCATCATATATAATCAGAGATAATGAAGTAAACTGCATGCCTAGCAGTCTGTGTTTAAGTCTGGAGAGGTTTATCTCCAAGAAACAAATGAAATTTTACTTCATCCTGTACATCAATGTATGTTTTGATTGTGTGGTTGTTCTTTTAAATATTTTAATAGTAGTTTTATGTTTGGGAATGTTTAATTTTGACGACATTTTAGGTACATAGAAGTCATAAAATAGTGCAGCAGATTCCTATGTAAGCCTCACTCACTTTCCCCCAATTTCTAGCATCCCATTACATTTGTCCTTTCTTCTTACACACACATATATCAAAATATTTTTCTGAATCATTTGAGTAGTCAGTGCATATAGGGATCTTTTATCCATAAGTACATAAATATGTATTTTGTAATTAAGGAATATTTCCACAAAACAACTAGTAAAACCTAGAAATTAGCATTGATACAGTCTCACTACCTTCTATAGGGACCTTATGGTATATTTTGAATTACTATGTGATTTCTTTTAATGGCATGTATTTGTATTTATCCTATGTGTTCTCTAAGCCATTTTCATATGAGAATTGTGATTTGGAGTCAGAGAATGTATTTCTATAATTGAATATTGCTTAAATACTTAGTTTATTTTTAAAGTCTTATTTACAAATTATGTATTTATCTTTATAAGTTAATTATAACTTTTTTACCTAAATATTTTATTATTTAGGACTTAACTAATAATTTTAAAATAAATTGTTTTATTATTCCTTCATTTTTTAATGTGAAATTATTTACTGAACACCTTCTTTTCTGGTTGTTGTATATACAAAAACAGGTAAGATAGGTTACTGATCTTAAGTGCCTCATTGTTTTTGCATCCTTTGGATACATACAAACACACACACATACACATCTAGGAATGTAATTGCTTGATCTCATGGTGTATATATTTTTAATATTTTTGAGAAAACTCTCTAGTGTTTTGAGGTCACCACAAGAGGAGGAGGAAGGTAGGGAGCAAAGGACAGAGAGGGCCCGGTGAATAGTGGTAGAGGAGTATGGGCCCCTTGGAGGCAGGTGTGTGTGGTAACATACATCTGAAGAGATGTGTATCTGTACCCCAAAGTAATGTACAATGTTGGAAATTGATCATACCTCAATAAGACAGTAATACAATTTGTTAAAAATGATTGTTCCGGGCACTCCCTGCTGGCACAGCGGGTTAAAGCACAGCACTGAGAAGCTAAAGCCACTTCTGCATGAGTTCGATCCCCGCCTGCCCGGGAGGTGACCACAGGGCGCGGCAGACCTCTCCTGACCCGCCCGCTGCTCCCCTCAGCAGTGTATTTCATCAGTCTGCTTGTTCTGCTCCCCACCAGTCTCTGGTGAAGCCTCTCACCGCCCCTGTATCTCTGACCTGTACCCCAGCTCTGTGTGCATAAATAAATAAATTAAAAAAAAAATCATTGTTCCATGGGAACATTTTCTGTTTAATATCCTCGTTATTAAGGTGTGTAAGTTCACAACCTTTCAGTTTTATACATACAAAACTGTACTTATTCACAACACAGAAAAATTATAGGCTATTTTTGCAATTTATTGTTTTTGTGTTTGTAAAAAAACAAACACAAAAACAATAAATTGCAAAAATAGCCTATACTTATTTGTTTCAAAGAATCCTTTTGAATATAAACATAAATTCCTAGTAAAGGCCTAATATATTTGTCATATGTGATAATTGACTCTTGAAGTAACTTTTAATCAACTATAGTCAAGGTGTTGCTGCTGTTGCTCCATTTTGTCTACATTGACTTATAGGAAAGAGAACTCCAAAACAACAGAAACAAAAATTTTATTTTCTACCTTTCCCTTAAAGGTGCTTTTGGTTTCGGTGATGAATAAAAGAAAGGAAGTGATTTTTCTTAAAGCATTTCAAGCTTTTTGAAGAACTACTTTTGAATTTAAAATGCCTGGTTAGATTGGCCTTGTGTTACCATTTGGTCTGGCTTACTTTGAAGTCTTAGACCCAAAGGGTCTTACCAGCGACTTTCAAAGAGCAAAATGTAAAACATCAGCCAGGAAAAATAAAGCGATCAAACAGCTAAAGCATGAAAGAAAATATTTACCCCAGGAGAAGCTTGCAGTTGATTCAGAAGACAAATATCAAGGAACAACAAAGTAAAATGTTAACATCTGTTTCAAAATATCATAAAGAGTTAGAAATTGGACATTCACTTTAGTTGGCCAGTAGCTTAATACCTTGTAAAAACATCAAACAGATGATGAAAGCCACTTATTTTTACCTCACTAGTTTGGGTAATTTTCTCTGAGTATTAAAATACTATGGTAAAGAAGAGACATTTGTTGACTTGTTGAAAGGAGATAATTTCCATGAAAAAAAAAAATCCTAGATCTTTTGCTTTTTTATTATTAATTCAATCAGTCCTAGGTTAGGAAGGAAATCTGAGTTTGTGGAGCAAGAGCCTCCTCCTTACTTCAAGAGATCACCAGTCAGCTATGTTGTGACAATTCACCTATAAGATTGCTTAACTTTTCACCTCCCACAATATCATCTTTGAGTTTGATGTGCTGGAAGTCAGGATTAAGGGCACTTTGCCTTCTTCATAAATAAAAATGTAATTCAAATGTATATATCAGAGAACGAGTTGAGCATATTAAAAGATGACATTAACACCATTATCCTCACTGTATTAAAATAAGTAGTTATCTAAGGTCTGAAGTTAGCCATTTGAATTGAAGTTCTATGCCCTGGCCTCACTTACATGTTTTATGTGTCAGTAACAAGCATTGGTGGTCATAGTGTGAGGAGATGGCCACAGGAAACACAGGGAGGGCGATGAGATACCTGAGTGCCTACCTCATGTACCACTAGCTGTCACACCTGCTTCGTTGGTTCCATTGGTGGCTCTCACAGTGCTAATCTAATGTCACTTCAAGCAGTGAAGAATCCCTCTCTGTGTGCTCATGAGTACCTGCTGGTGAGGAAAGTGCTGCCTCTACAGTGAGGGGAGGCAGAAGCCCCCCATTTTCATTCTCTAAGCAGTGGGATTCAAATTTAGTAATTGGCACCATGCCTGTTACTTACATACTGACTGCATTTATTTTTTTAATATTTATTTTTAAAATTAATTTACTTTCTGCTTTTAATTTGTTGTCTATAAGGGGTACTAGCTGGCATTATCAACAGAAAAGTAACATTGGTAGTTGCTGATAATTTACAGAAGTAAATAAGATACCCAGATGCCCTTGGGGACTTTCAAAAGCTATTTCAGAGAAAAGGTAAATTATTGTACATTAAGTATTATAAGCATAAAAACATAAAACATAACAATATGTACTATTACATTTAGTGAGTGCATATTGTAGTTGATAAAAAAACAGCAATAGAGTGTCCATAAAATGAATTTATCACAAGATTAAAGTTAGGAGTTTGGCTCAACACAAAGAACATACACTTAGTCATTTTTTCTCTTTGATTTTTCATTACTAAAATAGTTTATATTTATGAGTTTAGAAGAAAGAAGATATTAAATGTATTTCAGTGGGATAGATTTGCGTGTGTGCATATATAATATGATTTTCTTACTAATTGGCATAAAAGAAAGCTATGTTTAAAAAAAAAAGACAGGAAAGCCAAAAAAAGGACCTAGTGCTACAGAGAGACATGATGGTTTTAAAACTGTTTGAGAAATGTCTATTTGCTCTTGATTCCGACATAAGGGCCTATATTAGGATGGCTAGTTTAGAATCCTCCCTAGCAAGAGTTCTTCATTTAATCACACTGGATATTTACCTAGCTCTTGTCATTCTCATAATAAAAATGGACTACTCCTTAATTCCCTCCTTGAATTTCATAGTAATTATTAGTAATTATTCATTGTAAAAAAAATGTCTCAATGTCTCGTTGTAGGTATCCTTCGTACTTGGCACCTGAAGTAATTGCGCAAGGGATTTTCAAAACCACTGATCATGTGGCAAGTGGAAAACCATTGCCTTCTGGACCCAAGTCAGATGTATGGTCTCTTGGAATCATTTTATTTGAGCTTTGTGTGGTACGTGTAAAGAAATATTAAGCTAATGAAAAGAAACTGTGTTTCTGGGATAATTTTTTTGGATAGAAAACTAGTAATATAGTTTTGCTTTGCATATCTATTCTATAGATGTGAGAAAAAGACTTAATTCTCAATTGAGCTTTTAAAATATTTCATTTGATAATACCTTTGCAAATTATATAAGCATCTCTAGAAATGTTTTTATTAAGTGTAAAAATATACTATACTAAAATGTTCAACTTTAAACAGTTTCAGAAATGTTTCTATTACAATGGCTGACTGACTGACGTGTCGTGCTTTCCCCAACCCCTGTGGTATTCTTTCCTCCTTAAGTGTCTTCTCTTCCCGCCGTTCTGTTAGTTCCTGTGGGACTCACTTAGTAGACTGCCTTTTTATGAGGCTTCCCCACATGCCCTCTATATTTATTAGGGTGAAGACTAAGTTGCTATTACAAAGGATTAAAGATCCAGTAGCTTAAAGAACAGAGATGTTTCTCTCCCTCAAACTGTCCAGAGGGCATGTGCATCCGCCCCAGTGTACCCTGCCACGCAGGAGTCTGGGCTGTATTCTCAGCAGCTGATCTCCACAGTTGTTTCTCTCTCACCTCTCTTAGCCACCAGGAAGGGAGAGCAGTAATTCAGGTAATCATCTTTAGGAAAAGGAACTAAAAGCTGCAGCTAGCAAATCTGCTACAAATCTGCTGATTGCTGCAAGTGTGACTGGGAAATGCAGCCTTTAATTCAGCACCTAAATGCTGAGGAAGAATGTGAAATTGGAGGAAGGGATAAAAGTCAGTCACGTCCGAGATGAAATTAATTTTGGAGAGACAACTGACAGTCTCAGGCCTACCTCCAAGCACCTGGCAGAACTAGGTCTCCATGTTTTCTCTTCTTCTCTATAGTATTTGTCATATTTGCCTGCTCCACTTGGACTGTGAGGTCTTTTGAGGCATGTATTTTTATTATTCAGCTGTTATTTTTCTTTTTGCGAGGACTTTTGAAAGCTTTGACTCACTAGTGTTTATCATACCTAAGAAATAATATTTTCTTCATGTTGCATATTTTATTTTTATTGTATTTATATATATATTTTAACATCATTTTTCATTTTTGTACAATGTGTGCTTTTTCATCTTGTTTGTAGTCCCCATGAAACTCCCACCACCAATTCACCTGCGAACCATCACCATAGTTCCTTGTGCTCTTCCCACCCCTGTTTTGATCCTACTCCACTCTTCCCCCTGTAGAATGTCTCTGGTTTATAGTTCTTTGTTCATTTTGATATTTATTATAATTTTTCTCCTAATCCCTTATTTAGATCCTCTACATTCCTCCTCAGAGTGAAACCATCCAGTATTTTTCTTTCTGGCTTTTTTCAGTAAGCATGATCCCTTCCAACTCCATCCATGTTGCTCCGAATGGCATGCATTTATCTTTTTTCGATTTCTGAGTAATATTCCAGAGTGTATATATACCACACCGTCTTGATCCAGTCACCTGTTTTGGGGCATTTGGGTTATTGCCATAGCTTTCCTATTGTAAATAGTGCTGCAAGAAACATAGGATGCAGGTGTCTTTTTGAATTAATTTTTTTTTGCATATTGCAGAAGGAACTCAGTAGCAGAAGTAGTAAAGCATAATAGTACAAAGGCAAGCTTCAGTAATCAGAGAACTGGGTTTAAATTCTGTTGCTGCAGAGTATAGCTGTATGGCTTAGTATCATTTAACTGACTTCAAGACTTGATCTCCGCTTCTGTAAAGAATAACAGTATCTAAATTGTAAAGTCAGCAGACATTTAAATGTAATAATATTTTTGAAGTACTTAGTTACTTTACAGTTCTTTCTAGCAAAGGTTCAAACCTATATTTCCAGAATACTAATGATAATGCTGTACAGTATTGAAAAGAGGACTGGCAACTTAATTTCAGTGACTTTCCCCTGTAGTTCAAATTTCCTAAGTCTTTAAGAAATTTTTTTTCCTTTTGATTAAAAAAAAACAACTGCGGGCCCTCCCTGGTGGAGCAGCAGGCTAAAGCACAGCACAAGGAAGCTTAAGCCGCTTCTGCATGAGTTCCATCCCCGCCTGCCCCATCCCCGCATCCCCACATGGCTAGGCAGACCTCTCCTGACCCACCCGCTGCTCCCCTCAGCAGTGTACTTTGTCGATCTGCCTGTTCTGGCCCCCCCTCTGTCTCTGGTCTTTCACCGCCCTTGAATCTCTGGTCTGTACCCCAGTTCTGTATGAATAAATAAATAAATCTTTTTTAAAAAAATCTATCTTTTCAATTATTAATAAGACATGAATAGGCAATATGTATAATATGTATGAACTACTTCTATATGAAAAAACACTAAGCATTTTTAGACATTATATAATTCTCACTGCATGTATAGTTAATATTCTAAATATAAAGATGAGAAAGGTGAGCCTTGAGAGTAGTTAAGTTAACTTGTCCAAGTTATACAGCTAGTGGTAGAAGGTCCTGCTTGGTATACAGTAGTCACTCAACATGGGATAGGTCTTTGATTCCATTCCATGAAGCCTCCTGAAGCCAACTAATAATGAAACAATCAATATGATATGTTTCTTAAATAAAAGAATTTTCTAGGTCCTTTAAGAGTGCAAAACATAGAGGAGGAAGCAGGATGTCATAGAATGTTCTGGGTGGATAAGCAGACAACATAATGGTTACATGTAAATCAAAACTACGTAGTAAGAGTCTTTCCCAGCAGGTATCTTATCTCATAGTCAAATGTGACTTCTATGGCCTAGGATGCTTCTGGGTATTGTGATATCTGTGGGTCTTGAAAGTTAGGAGGTAGAATATAATAACCTGTAGGTACATGGAATATTTACATGTGAAACATTATTTCAACATATAAAAAATATTATGTCACTGGATTTTTTTTAATATAGCTAACTTTAATATTCTATAAAACCTCTGAAGAGAAATAGAGGTCTCCAGAAAATCATTTTCATTTCTGAGAAAAACAAGTTGTAAATATTAATAATTTCTTTTCTCATTTAGGGAAGAAAACTTTTTCAGAGCTTGGATATCTCTGAGAGATTAAAATTTGTGCTTACATTAGGTAAGTGTCACATGATTTATAATCTTTTCAACTATAAATATGATCTTTAATGACTGTTAATGCTTATATATATTGAGGCTGTATCTTTCTAAAATAGTGAATACTAAAAAAAAATTTCAAAGCCTCTGAAATACTTTCTTCAGTTTCCTAGTGATCACTGATAAGCATTATCAGGATAGCTTACATGATGGTGAAAAACTAGAGTAGTGATTTCCTGATTCCCTAAGGACATATGACATGGACAGATGCATTCTTTGCTTCCTGAGATAGCCAAGTAAACTGTGAATTCACAATATGAGAATATGAGATTGCTTGGCTCTTTATCAGTATACCTTCAGACAAGACATCCAAGAGAAATACCAAGCTTTCTATTTCATAAATCTTATATAAAAAGAATATTTTTCTGGAAAACAAGTCCTAATATTTTACATCTATGTCTACTCCAAGCATTTTTTATTTTATTTTTTAAAAAATCATGTTTTCTGTTTTTGAGCAGAGTAAATTAAGCATATGTAGTTTAAAAAAGAATGGAGAGAAAAGCAGTGCTATAGATCACATTATGGGAAAGAGTGACACATTAGGGTACAAGTTTATGAATCAAACTGCTAAATTGCACTGATAAATAAATATAAAATAATGACTGCAAGTAAGTTGTATAAAATTCTACTGTATTTGCCACATTTAATTTCAGAGTTTGATAATATAGCTCTAAGAAGTCTTAAATATATCTAAATGAATACATACTAAATGTATGTTTTAAATACTCAGAGAAATGTGTGTACATTTGGCACACTGTAAATAAATTAGTCCTAGAATCAAGAAAATAATAAAGCACTGTTAAAGAGTAATAAGAATATATATGAGATAATGTTTACCTCCTTGAATCACTGTTTTATCTTATATAAGGTGCTATCAATTTCTGTGACTCAGTTGATATTAATGTTTGAAATATTTTTTCCTTGAAACAATTAAGGACATTAATAAAGCTAAGTGTTTCAAATTCCAATGTCACATTACACATTTTAAAAAATTATTAGGGTTCAGTTCACAACCAGGTAGTTCAGTAAAGCAGCAGTAATCCTATAATTTTTCTGTCTTATAGATTGCGTGGATGATACTATTATAGTTCTGGCTGAAGAGCATGGTTGTCTGGACATTATAAAGGTTTGTCATTATGTCTTATTAACTATTTATCCTGTGTACTGGGATCTAATAGCAAACTATTCTAAAACTGTGTTTATTTCCTTTTAGATACTTGTTTTTTCACAGTGGCAGCCTAACATAAATCTATACAAAGTCCAAATAAAGACTTTTTTTAAAAAAAATAAAAATGTTCTTGAGTAGCAAATACTTGTTTAAAGTGTATTTTTGAAATGAGTCATTTAAAACTGTTCTTTTCTCCCTTTACTTATAGGAGCTTCCTGAAAATGTGATAGATCTTTTGAAGAAGTGCCTCACTTTCCACCCTTCCAAAAGGTTAATATTGTTAAAGAGTATGGGGTTACACTGTGCTCATTAACATACCAGAGTTGCTCTTATATTCTTACTAGTTTCTAATACTGACATATATTGAATAGCATAATTGATGTTATCATAACATATGGTATAAATGTCTTTTCATAAAAGAAGAAAAAAGTCTGCCGGAAACCTGGCATATACCATAATTTTCTGGATCATTTTCTAGCCTCTAATTAGGAAGTCAGCTCAATTATGCAGTATATATTCCTAGACACAAATGATAAAAGAGGAGTAAAAACAACAATTTATTGGTGATAAGTATTACAACAAAGAACTTGAATAATTGATAAGGTAAACTAACAGTTGTTGATAATAAAAAAAGGTCTACTTAGAAGCTTTATTACTTCTTTTCATTTGATTGTGTCACTGTTAGCCAGGCAGTTTTCCCTAAATTCCTTAAATGCATAATATTTGATAATTGTAATTTGATTTGTCTTTAGAAAACATCATTATAAAGACATGTTTGGAAGAGACACGTAATTAAAAATCTTTGAATAAATATGCCACATTTAAAGTCAATGTTGGAAGATAATATTGTTTCCACAATTTTTAAATTTAATTACGATACCAAGTAAAGCATGTTTACATTCGTCAAACTAAAAGTAAAAATTGGAGGTGCTCATATATAATAATTTTTGATAGGTCATAAAGCAAAAGAAGCTCAAAGGTAAAAAATTCAGCATTTACTCACTCACTTGATTGTTAAAGATAAATATCTGATAAATATCTGAAATGATTTTCATTCATGCTCTGTATTTTAAATGTGTTTCTCCAGGCCAACCCCAGCTGAACTAATGCAAGACAAGGTTTTCAGTGAGGTTTCATCTTTATACACCCCATTTACCAGACCTGCCAGTCTGTTTTCATCTTCTCTGAGATGTGCTGATCTAACTTTGCCTGAGGATATTAGTGAGCTATGTAAAGGTAATGATCAATAAAGGCACAGACAGTGAGGAGTGAGAACAGTAAGGAGTACCCTTACTCTAGTTTCAGTTTTTAATTTATTAACAAGATTTTCATGCAATTAAGAGATAATTCTGGAAATATTAAATATAACTAACTTAACATTTTAATCCTTTAAATTTAAATTTTGTTGGAACAAGGGTTTAAAGAATTAAGGAGAATGAATGAATAGATGGAGCAAAAGAAAAAGAAAAGATACTTTGTCATGCAAAACAAAGTCTCATTTTCATTTCATTTCTTAATGCTAAAATCAGGTCTTCTAATTCCCAATAGATTTTTCACTGCATCAACATTTAAGTACCATATTATTTAAAATTTACTACAAAATGGTTTCTAGAAATCATTTAGTCGATCAAAAATTTGTTGAGTTCTGTATGTTCCACACACTGTTCCAGAAACATTCATACCAAATAACCAGGCAGAAAGACATTTGCTCACATAATTACTCCTGTAAGTGGAGGTCATTATGAACATAGCACTGACAATGAAGCATGACTTGGCTTAAGTATCATGAGAGACTTCTTGGAAGAGGCAACCATTGTCTCAAAGCATGAGAGACTTGGTCATTTGTGATGGTGTCCTAACCCAGAACTGCCCATAGAATCTGAAATATTATATAGATCTCTCTGTATGTTTGATAGGAAGGGCAAAAAATCCCTTTTCTCAAAGAAACTAAATGCATTTCCAATATGCATATCTGCAGTTCACCCTCTCTGCGTTTTCACTATAGTATGACTTTTCTATAGGGAGTTTTACTGGTGCAATTTTTACTTTGCTTTGGAATTTCAAATAGTGTTGCCTATTGATTCAATAAAAATAAAGCCTTTTAGCTATGATTCTTTTTAATTTGTTTGAATAGATATTGACAGTGATTACCTGGCTGAAAGATCTCTGGAAGAAGTATATTACCTCTGGTGTTTAGCTGGAGGTGACTTGGAGAAAGAGCTTGTGAACAAGGAAATCATTCGCTCCAAACCCCCTATCTGCACACTCCCCAAGTAAGGAAAGAAGGTGTCTCTTGGAAATGAGCAGAATCTAGTTATAACATTAACATTTTACTTAATAACATTGATAACAATTTTAATGACATTAATAACATTAAAATTGTGTTGGATTGTTTCCTTTGGTAAACATTCCAACTAAGTAATTATAAAATTAAAAATAAAGCTCTTGTTTTCTTGATTATCATATCTAATGGCAATTTCCAGTGACATATTTATTGTTGTTTTCATAACTTGAAGTTGTTACTATAAGACTTCTTAACATAATTGATGTTCAATAAATGACAACTGTACAAATGAAAAAAAAGTAACAAAGAGTTAATCGTCTAGGCTAGTACGTCTTTTTTTAGGTGATGACTTATTCTTTTAATTGTGGCAATAATAGGTTTGTATGTTTTATGAGAAACTATTTTCTGTTTTCATTTATATTTATAAAGTAAATGTGCTCTATGGCTTCATTGCATATTTGTCCTAGCCATCAATGTGTTGGGAAAAATCAGAGCTGCTGGTGCTCTTGGACACCTGTAGTTTAGATTGGAAGTTAAATAGTAGTACCTTCCCACGGGCCAGCGTTTTAAATTTTTAGTGTTGGACTAGTTTTCATTATTGTAGGTTATTGTATTAATAGTGTGCTGGTTATATTTTTTCCTCTCATCAAATTTTTTGGTTAATTCTTTGAATATATCACTGGTTCTCTATGTTTCCCCTTTCTCACCTGATTTTTTTTTTTTAAAGATTTATTTATTTGTACATACAGAACTGGGGTACAGGCCAGAGACTCAGGGGCAGTGAGAGACTTCACCAGAGACAGAGTGGGGAGCAGAACAGGCAGATCAACGAAGTACACTGCTGAGGGGAGCAGTGGGCGGGTCAGGAGAGGTCTGCCACGCCATGTGGTCTCCTCCGGGGAAGGTGGGATCAAACTCATGTGGAAGTGGCTTTAGCTTCTCAGTGCAGTGCTTTAACCCGCTGTGCCACCAGGGAGGGCCCTCACCTGATTTTTAAATAGTAACAAACTATTCTGCTCATACATTGAATTAAATAGAAAAACAGGAAGTAAAGTAATAGAAATTCCCAGAATAAATGGTTTGAAGAATATATAAATTCTCAGAAATAATCCTCTGAAATTCTGAACAAAGCATATGCATTTAATATTTATTACATGTATTATTGTGCATATTAATATATATATCAATATCAGTCATTATTTTTCCTAAGGTGCTACCATCAGTATGAATTTTCTTTTTCCTTTGATCACTCCTGTAAACTTCCTTAGGAGTACATTAGTATAATGTCAGGAGAGTAATTTTAGCTTCGAATCTGTATGAAAACGGAATGTAAATCATACTCTTACAATCCTAAGATGTTGATGCACTATATTCACACCAACCAATATATGTTTAAAAATGAGGGAGGTTTGTAAAAATTTCAACCAGCAGTTCATTTTTTAACTAATCTATTCAGTTAAAAATCCCTTTCTTCAATGAAGTAATTGATTTAGGGTAATTTTTTTTATGTTTTATACTTCTTTTGAATTAATATTGCAGTATAGCATTATATAAGCATTAGGTTTTCATCATTGAGAATTAGCCTGTGTATCTGCTCCATTCAGGTCATCTCTAAATATCAGTGTTAAGAAATAATAGATCAGATTTTGTGTGTTTGTTAATATAGTCATTTTTAAATCTCTTTTCAGTTTTCTCTTTGAAGATGGTGAAAGCTTTGGACAGGGTCGCGATAGGAGCTCACTGTTAGATGACACCACGGTGACACTGTCATTATGCCAGCTACGAAACGTATGGAGAACATTTCGGCACATATCTTTAATTTTTTTTTTCTTAGTAAAACCTTACACATACACATGAAGCCTTGATAAAATACATGCATTTTTCTTTAATATTTGTTCCAAAGAATAGCATTGTTAGAAAACATCTATTCATTGACGTTAGTACATATTCTTGATGATTCACAAAGGCAGTTTTATCAGTTTATTTTTTTAAACTTCACTGGACGCATTTCTCTACATACTTGGTAACATGATTTATTCAGTTTTTAAAAAGTTATTATTCTAAAAGCTGTGGGATGATATTGTAGTATAATACTGATTTTTAACTACCATTTTTGAATCTTTTCATATTTATGCTGTATTTGCTTATGTTTACATTGCTAGTTCCTATCTTTTGCCAATATTTCTATCCAGCAATATATTGATTGGAAGAGTTTTAAGAATATATTGTAGGATCGGAGTCTTAATTATTTATAGTTAATAGAAAAATCTTCATATTTTGGCTTTTCCTTTTTTTTGTTTTCTACACCTTTTTGATGGTAACTTTTAATGTCTAGTATTTTGATTTCATTAATGTTTTCCTTTATAGCAAAGTATAATTTATTTGATATATTTTGCTAGTTGCAATTTATTTAAAGTTATGCCAACATTATGAAAGTATTTTATAGCTATATTTTTACGAGATTTAAAGCTTCCCCCTCCCCATTTAGCCCATTAGTCTATATGAAGTTTTTTCTTTGAAGAAGATGCAATGTAGTTATTCAATACAATATAGTAATTCCTTGTTTTAGCATCTTATAGTGAGTAATCCTTTCTTTGCTTGTTAAGTTTATACTGCTAACTCTTTCACATATGCCTGATTATCTCACTTCAATCGATTTGTCAAATCTTAGCCACTGGTGCCTTATCTTACTATGTAATAGTTTTATATGAGGTCTGATATCTAGCACAGAAAGATACTCAATTTGTCCTCAAAATGGAGTAGTAGCTCTTTGACACCTTACTCTTCCATTTGATTTAAACTTCATTAAGCTTCAAATAAAAATATTCATAAAATTTTATTGGAAATATATTGAATTTTAGGTTAATTTGTAGAGAAATGGTATCTTTAAAATATAGAGTCCTGTTTTCTTGAACATGTATTTACACCATTATTTAAGTCCTATTTTATGTCAAATATTCTTGTTGCTATCTCTATATCATATTTTTTTTTTCTGTATTAGATTCTTAAGGTATTTCATTGTTGTTCTTGGGGTATGAGATATATATTATATATGTATATGATTTTTCTTGCTATGAAGTAAATCTTGTTTGAACGTAATATAGCAATTCTAGTTCTCTTAATTGGCTTATCATAGTATATCTTTACCTGATGTCATTTTGGTCGTCTCCTTCGTATAATTTAAAATATTTTATCTAGCCCTCTGGTGACCAAGGGATTCACTCTCAGCACCATCACTGCGATAGCATGAGTTCTATCCCTGGCCAGAGAGCTGACCCACATAGCCAGCAGATCTCCCCTGTCTCCCCTCACTACTCCCTTCAGCAGTGTATTTCAGTATATTGGCCTGTTCCACTCCCCACTTTGTCTCTGGTGAATCCTCTTACAACCACCCCCCACACACACACACACTTCTAGCCTACACCCCAGTTGTTCTATGCAAATATATATATATTATTCTATATATATATATATATAATCCTTTCGTTGAATTTTGTAATAACTTTAGCAATTCTGAATTGTGTATGGGGACATATCGTAGTAAAAATACTATAAGCTTTCACCTAACATTTATAAGAGACATCTGAAGGTTAAAAAATTGAAAAACACAAACTATTCTTCACAAATAATTACTAGAGGCATGATATAACTACATGTTTATGATAGGAATGAATTTTAGATTCAATTTTATATTTTTCTTTGTTCCTTTATAAATTTATAGTTCCTGTGTTATTTATTCTCTTAAATACAGATCAATGTGTCTGGCTCAGGCCCTCATCCTTAATATTTTCTCTTCAAATTCACAGAGATTAAAAGATGTTGGTGGGGAAGCATTTTACCCACTACTTGAAGATGAGTGAGTATCTTTCATACTTATTTTTCTGTTTTTGTTAGATTATATTAATAGGAATCTTATGTATTTTCTCTGAAAAATGTTTGTTAAATGAAACACATAGGTACAATGTTTTGGTTTTCTTAAATCTTTTCTCTTTTGTCAATTTGTATTTGTTTCTCTCTTACAGCCAGGCTAACTTACCTCATTCCAACAGCAATAATGAGCTATCTGCAGCTGCTACTCTTCCTTTAATAATCCGAGAGAGGGACACAGAATACCAACTAAACAGAATTGTTCTCTTTGACAGGCTACTAAAGGTAGGTTGTGCTCTATAGCTTGAGGTGTTAGGAGAGCCTATATGCTATTCCTTATCTTTTTCCCCCCACACTGGTAATTCTTAGGGCATTTTTATGTTATGAGAACAAAAATTCTTATGATTTTCTGATTAACTTTAAAGATAAAAATGATATATGTTTATACTAAATAAAATTAAAAAGAAAAACAAGATCTAAGAATCTATACAAAATAATATTATGCAAAAGATGAATATTCTTATGTTTAAAGAACACAAAAGCAACAGGAAAAAGGTGGGAAAACAGACAAATGTGAAAAGAATATTGTAGAAATATAACTAGTTAGCAAGTAATCTATTTAAAAAATTATCTTTACTATAATGAAAAATATATAGGTTTTATTTCATAGTGCACTAGCAAGTGAGCAAAAGTATGTTAAGACTGAAATTCTCATCCTTTCAGAATAAGTGTAAAATGATTTAAAGAAGCTCTCAGGAATTTGATAGTATATATCAGGAGCCATAGAAACAACGAATCCCTCTGTCCGAATAATTATATTCTAGAGATCTCCCTTAGTGCACAAGCTTATAAAAATATTTATAAATCTGTATGCAAGGCTGTGGAAGTAGCCGATATAATGACATATTTATTGAATACTTTATATATCACCAAGTAATATGCATACTTTATTTAATACATGTGAGGCTTATAATGACCTCACCATAGGACTCATTTATAGTTCCCTGAGAGCACAGGAAAAGGAATGATTAAAAACAATAGAATCATTTCCTCTCTTTGACTGTATACTATGAGCTTTACGGAAGATAGGGGACTATTCCATTACAAATTTGTATGTATTAATAACATCAGAGAGAGTAGTTTCGCATATTTAGAAATTTATTGCAGGTCACCTCCAACTTATATCACTGATATAGTTGAATTATCCAGACTGAAAGATAGTAGTTGGTAATTTGAGATACCTGTTTTCATCTATAGGCTTATCCATATAAGAAAAATCAAATCTGGAAAGAAGCACGAGTTGACATTCCTCCTCTTATGAGAGGTTTGACTTGGGCTGCTCTCCTGGGAGTGGAGGTAAGAAGGAAGAGAGGTGAGAAGCTGAACAAGAAAGAAAGAAAGCACTTTCCAACTAGTGTTTTTAAAATGTTAATCAGGTCATGAAATATGACTATTAAGACTGGCAATTTTAAGTGAAAAAAAAATAGAGGAAAAGAATAGATTAGTAAGAAGAGAAAATATAAATGAAAGTTAGATTTATGCTACTTAATATTTCATTTGATGGGGTCCATAAACATCATCTTGAAAATCAATTTTAAAATCAGATTATTTTTATAAGCATTTAGGAATAAGATACCTGTTGATAGTTTGGAGAAACTGCATTCCAGTTTGAATGATAGAAATAATTAATATATTTTTGTGCTTTTTGGTACATATATCTTATCAGAACTATCATGGGCCAAGAAGAATAGCTACGTTTTCTTTGACAGCACTCTCTGTAGCAGTAAGGAAAGCAGAAGCTTTGCAAATTTATTTTTGTGACTTACAGTGCTAACAGACAGCTTGAGTGACAGCATGATAACAGACCAAATCCCTACCAGGTTTTCTCATTTCCTGTCCATTTCTTTGTCATCCTGCCTTCATATAGTCTCCTATAGCATATTCTATAGATATCATCACCCATTTCTGTGTATGTGAATTCCCTCTGCTATTTTTAGTCCTTTTTAATTCTTTATGAGAGAATTGTGGTTTTTTTTCCCCTATCTGATTATCTTGATGGGAGTTTACAAAGTCTGTGTTTTTGGTTACTTTGTAAAGTAAGCCCTAGAAATCTGTTTATAAAAACTAGAGCTACAGGGGGGGCGAGAAGACAGTCGACTCAGCTGTAGGACTGTGGGTGCCCTAGTGGTGAGTGTGGTATGTTAACACACTGCTGAAGATGTGGGAGTATGTTTCTGAATCATACAGTGTTGAAAACCAGTGCTACCTTAATAGAAACAGGTAGCAATCAAAAACAATGGTGCCTGTTTCTACATAGCACACACTGCTAGTTAGAACCATACAGTGCTAGACTTCAAGATGACATCTGAGGTCAGGTTACCCAACCTCTCATTTATTCATTCGCTGTGCAAGAAAAGTTGAGACACTGTGCAGTGGCAGACTTTGAACCATAGATTCTTGCCTCTTTCTCCACCATTACAGTAAAACAAAGTAATAGGAATCATTTCATGCTGTTCCTATAGAACTTGACCAAGACTTGAAGTGGTTTATCAATTATTTCTCTGTAATGCAACTGTAACATGAAAATTTCACTGAGATGATCCATCATCCTCTATTCTCCCCTCTTACACCCCTCTCCCAGTTATTCAAAATTTCTCTATGAAACTCTGAGACAATGAAGAACAGTTTGGCTACACATGCTTGTAGCTGAGTGATTCACTTCACACACTTGCCTTCTTGTGCATGTAATTCAGATGTCTCCCTTAACAAATGGCAGCTAGCCAGATTCTCATTACATGTTGCCAAAGATTAGAGAGTTTTTCCAGGAGTATATTTAGGTTTGAATGTGCCTTTCTATAATTGGGTGTATTTTCAAACATAGGTATTTATAAGAAGTAGATTTTGCCTAACTTAATAAAAAATCTGATGAACTAATATATCATCTCACACTTTTCAGGGTGCTATTCAGGCCAAATATGATGCCATTGATAAAGATACTCCAATTCCTACAGATCGACAGGTATGTCTTAGTTTTCTCAACCTAAGATAATTCTGCCAAATCTTTAAATTATAGAAAGGTATGAGGAATTTTCTTCTCTTTATGCAGTGTGTGTGATCTCAGAATAACCATGACTAATATCTGAAACTCTTTTTGTTCTTTCCTCAAAGTAATCAAAGTCAAGGAACCTAATGATTGTACTTTTTTTAATCTGAAGAGTTTGTGTGTCATTTAGACCAGCTTGTAAATGAAGGTTTTTTTTGAAACTTATACTAATAAAAACACAACTTTTTTATATTTCGAGAAGATTAATATAAAATCAAAACATCAGCCACTAGTATTATGTAGGTGGTATATTCTGAAATTCAAAATACAATCAGTCCTTTTCCTAATCATGGGGTTTTATTGGGGATCGCTCACATATCGTTTTTTCGTTTCACAGATTGAAGTCGATATTCCTCGGTGCCATCAGTATGATGAGCTGCTGTCCTCTCCTGAAGGCCATGCCAAGTTTCGGAGGGTGTTAAAAGCCTGGGTAGTGTCCCATCCTGATCTTGTGTATTGGCAAGGTGACCATTCTCCAAACTCTTTTTGAATTATTAGGAGCATGTTGTATGACTCACAATCAGAAAAACCAAAACAAAATAGCAAAACATCCTTGGCTTTGTAAAAAATCAATGTTGAAGTTGTATTCCATTTTTTGAAAGATTTATATACAGTTTTTTTAACTTTGTCTAAATGCCTAGTGCATATCATTTAAATGTGTGTTATTTAAAGAAACAGCTTGCTATCATATTGAATTGGGAAAATACAAAGAACGTTTTATGCTAGCTTAATCTTGATGGATCAGTGTTTTGAACACTTATGCAAATAGCAAAAAAGTTTATACCATAAATAAATCTTTATGGATCATTTTTTTAAAATCCTAATGCAAACAACAGCTATTTTTATATCACACTGAAAAATATTACACTAAATTTACAACTTAGGGTTGTAAATTTCCCAATGTTTTCTTGATTTTTAGCTTTTCTTATTATTTTTGTAGTTATTGATAAATTCATAAGTGGAAAGACTCATTCCACTCATTCCTGGTTTTGAATATGTCATAAACAGTAATTTTTAATATTTCAATTATTTATTTCTGCTCAGACTTAAAATGAAGCTCTTATTACTTTTATTTTAACCTCTGTGCATTTTGAAGTCCTAAATATTAACAATTATGGGTAGACTTAAGTACATTATTTCCACATGACTACAGATGAACAGCATTACTGTCAATAAAGATCACAAATTTATGTTTTACTTCACAATTTTTATAGCACTTTTTTCATCATCCAAGAGAAACATGTTAGACAAATCTAGATGAGAAAACACACCTGGAGATGCTAAATTGTTGCCAAAATCACACACTCAGGATTAGCGATGGAATAATATCATAAGCATTCTAATCATCTTTGTATTTTTCTATGACTTTATTTCTCTGATTTTATAATAATATTATTCCAAATTATTATATGATAATAGCTGTTTAGGCATTTAGGGCATTTATCACATGCCTGTCATTATCAATTCCTCCTAACAATGACCAGTGAAGCAATAATGTATTTTGTGTGGGTAGCACAGTAGTTCGTAGAGTACTTACTCCACGAGTATACAGCTGCACGTCTGCTGCATTGTGCTTACTGGAGTTCTTCCCCTTATTCTTCCCCTCAGGTCTTGACTCCCTTTGTGCTCCATTCCTATATTTAAATTTCAATAATGAAGGTAAGTCTATTTTTTATGTAAATAATCATTGTGCATATTATTCTAAAGTATTTTGCTCAAAAATAAAGTATTTTATTATAAGGTGTTTGCTCTCTTGCTAATAGATACTGTAAATTTCTGTGAATCTGACAGAGAATTACTGGAGAATTTCAGTTGTGATCAGGCAGTACCTAGAGATTTGGAGAGAATCTAATCTAAGACTTTTACTTAACTGATTATTCTAAATGCATTCATCTACTTTGGTGACTATCTTTATGAAACTTTGGAGAAAATTCTTACTTCTTCAGAGATTAGTGTTAATCACTATCTACTTTCTAAATAATTTTGTAGAGAACTCAACTTTGATCTTATGCCTCTAAAGCCTATCATTTCCACTACTAGCTTTGTAATGAAGACTTTTCTTATTTTCCCTCCAGAACCCATACAGCACTTGCATATTCAGAAATGAATCTTCTGTCGTTTCATGTTCCAGTCACTTATTTACTAACAGCTAACCCTGTTTTGTGTTGGCATAGTTTTTTTGGTTTGTTTGTTTCTTTTCTGTCTGTATGTTATAATGGCCTTTTAGATAGTAGGTTTTTCAGTAAGTATTTTTTTCAACTTAGTTAACTTAGTCCCCCTAGTGGTATCACATGTAGAGAGTATTGCATGGATCTCTAGAAGCCTCCTTCTGTGAATCTCACTCTTTTCAAATTCTATCTCCTTCATGTAAGAACTTGCTAAAATTTGTGGAATTGAGTAGAGATAGCATAATCCCAAGTTTCTGTGTTTGAAAAGTTTTTAAAATGCACTGTCCTCTCATATCATCACTCATTACCATAGACCTGAGGCTTGCTTTTTTCAGTAGGTGTAGTCCCTGATCAGACATGTTGTTTCACGAATGGTCGGGAATCTATGTTTAAAGTAACAGTTTAAAACTTGTGCTTGTAAATCCTAAATTCCCACTTTTCTTTGTTTGTGTTAGCAAAAATTAGGAATTTTGAAGCTTCTATAGTTTGATAGTGATTATGCTTAGAACTTTGATATATGTATAAAATGTAGGTAATGATGGATTTATTATTGTGGGATAGGAATTTTGAAGCTTCTATAGTTTGATAGTGATTATGCTTAGAACTTTGATATATGTATAAACTGTAGGTAATGATGGATTTATTATTGTGGGATAGTGACTGTCATGGTAATTGAAAATGAAACGTTACCAGGGTAGCTTATGCTCTGTTGTCCAGAATATCTCCTGCCATTAGGGGCAGAGGATTCCCACTTTACTTCAGTGTCTCCATCAATTATGGACATAACTCTGGTATATGGTGCATGGAGACATGCTGAGGGGACTCTGCTACAAGGGCACATTGACGAACTTGGCATACACCTTTGCCTTACTCTTTTTTAGCCTTGGCGTATGCATGCATGTCTGCTTTCATCCCAAAATACCTGTATAACTTCTTCTTGAAAGACAACTCTCACGTAATACAAGGTAAGCACATGTCTTTATTTGTCCTTTTACAGAGAAAATGTTTATGTCAAAATATTCAATGTACTGTACTGGAAGAAATATGAGGATATCTAGAGAATCCTCAAAAAAGTAATTAAAACGCAACTTCTGAATTGGTCCTAATATTTACTGTCTGGCTGGTTGGTGCCTGGTTATCCGGCCAGCTCTCTGGGCTATACTAGGTAGCTTCCTATTACATTGATTTCTATCTGGGGCTGCACTGACTGTTCTTTGAAGGTGTATAATTGGCTTACCACTAATGAATTTGAGGTTTATGGTAACTGATTAACATCACAGAGGATGTGTATATTATATATTGATAATGAACGCCCAACTTGAAAGGATGACCTTTTTTAACGATAAACTCCTAAAATATACTTTTAGGAAGTTTATTATACAGCTAAATAAAACAAGATCTTGTCTCGTTTATGAAAATACCAGAGAAACTGTAGTAGAGATAACATGACTTTAGAAAAACTTGTCAGAAAGACCCAAAAGACTCTTAGTTTGATTGACTAATATTGTAATGTAAAATGTCACGTCTACATTGTTCCAAGAAACAATAGGCAATATGTTTTAAATCATTTATTTCAATTTTTACACTGATTGCACATATTATAAAAGGCATAATTTCAGTTATTCTCCTAGTAAATAATTGTTCAACTGTGACCCTGTGCAAGGCACTGCTCAAGGAACTGAGGTTTTAAGGTAAAACTAGCAGTCCTTTTCCAAGGAATTTCAACCCCCAATATAGGAAACAAATGTGAAAATAACAAATGATAAGCCAATGAAATATGTATATATTATTCCTAGTACTATAGAATATTAACACAGAGGAAGAAGTAGGAGAGGTTATTGTGATTTCTTTACCTTTTGGTGGCAAAGGAAAGATATAGCATATCCAAAAATATTTCATAAAGTAGGGGGTACATATTGATGAGTTTGAACCTTTAGCAGGAATTTGCTTAGAAAAAGGGAAGAAAGACATCTTCAGGAAACAACAGGAGAGGAGTGCAATAAAAATGCACAAAATTGGATCGTGAGGCAGCTGAGGTCAAATCTGGTGCCTGGAGTCAGAGAGAGCGAGGGGAGGCTCAGGCAGGACTGAACCTGCCTGTTGCTGGTTACTGAAGTTTATGGAAGAGCAGCAGTGTACTTGTATTCAAAGTGGACTGTTAGGCTTGGAACTAGAAGTAGCTGTCATTTGATTAGTTCCCCTCCTTGTTCATTCTCCCCGTTACCTTTGTCTTACCAGTAGTGATGGTTCTGATTGACTTAAATGGCACCTGCATATTTTTCCTCCCAGGTTTTGGAAAATTCCATATTGTATAAAATTGATCAATTCAACAACTTATCATAGAATTACATAATCATTTTGTCATTTAATTGCACAGAAATACAGGTTTTTGTAGTCTGTAGCAACTTTAAATATTCTTTGGAAGAAAAAAAACAAACTTGTGTTTAAATTATACCCTAATAGAACTTGACTTTTACCTAAAAATTTTTCATAAGTACATTATTTAGATTCTCATAAATATGCTAAATGCTTTGCCTCTTCTGGATGAGCAAACTATGATCTATTTAGTCAAGATATCTTGATTTTTTTTTTTTTATCCAAGGTCTTCATAACCTGTTACTCATAGAAATTTTTTTTTTAAAGATTTATTTACTTATCCATACAGAACGGGGTACAGGCCAGAGGTGTGGGGGTGGCGAGAAGATTCACCAGAGACAGAGTGGGGAGCAGAACAGGCAGATCATGAAGTACACTGTTGATGAGTTTGAACCTTTAGCAGGAATTTGCTTAGAAAAAGGGAAGAAAGACATCTTCAGGAAACAACAGGAGAGGAGTGCAATAAAAATGCACAAAATTGGATCGTGAGGCAGCTGAGGTCAAATCTGGTGCCTGGAGTCAGAGAGAGCGAGGGGAGGCTCAGGCAGGACTGAACCTGCCTGTTGCTGGTTACTGGGGAGCAGTGGGAGGGTCAGGAGAGGTCTGCTGCGCCATGTGGTCACCTCTGGAGCTGGTGGAGAATCGAACTCATGCTGAAGCGGCTTTAGCTTCTCAGTGCTGTGCTTTAACCCATTGCGCCACCAGGGAGGGCCCTACTCATAGAAATTTTTAAGAGTACTTCTTACAGAAGTAAATAAATACTGTCAGCTTTGTTACTCAGATTATTCTCAGTAACACTACCATTGAGCTGACAAAGTACCAATACATATTGACAGTGCCAACAATTATTAAAATATCATATCCTGATTATACAACTCAGCTTTGGCTCTCTCCATTATCCAAGATTGTTACTGACTGTCGGGTCAGCTTGTTTGCCCCCAACACACAGCAGCAAACACTGAACACCAACCAAATGTTTGAAACAGGGACAAGTGCTCGTTATCAGGAAGGCCCCGAGTGAGGTGATAGGCGTCTACTCTCAAATCCACCACCCTGAAGAAGGGGACTCAGGGTTTTTGTAGGGGAGGGTACATGCTGAGGTCTGGGGAAGGAATGTTCGTTACTTAGGGGAGTCACATCAGTCAGCAAGGAATATCAGACATTAGAAAGTAGGCTGACAGCTTGCAGCAAAGACATACTTTGGGCTATTGAAGAAAAAAGCTGCCGTGTAGTTATTAAGATATGGTGATGTTGCATGGGCGAATTGGTGCTGGGAATTTCGCAGAGAAATCACACATAGCACAAAAATGAAGGATGATGAAATGAATATATTTTTTTAAAAGTTTTTTTATTTTTTTAAAAGATTTATTTATTTATGCATACAGAACTGGGGTACAAGCCAGAGGTGCAGAGGCAGTAAGAGGATTTACCAAAGACAGAGTGGGGAGCAGAACAGGCAGATGGACAAGGTACACTGCTGAGGGGAGCAGTAGGTGGGCCAGGAGAGGTCTGCCGCGCCATGTGGGTCACCTCCGAGGTTGGGAATCAAACTCGCACTAAAGCAGCTGTGGCTCTCTTGCAATGCTGCTTCCTAACCTGCTGTGCCACCAGGAGGGTCCTTAAAAACTTTTTAAAAATGGAAACTAATCGTTGGTAGAAAATCCGACTCTACTTTAGTGTCATTATACACTTAATGCACAGCCCAGAAAGCTGGCCTGTAAAACATTTCATACTGTTCTTTTGTGTATCATTCACCACAAAAGCCATGGGAATCTGGGCACCAATTAAACATAACACTGAGGCAGGTTCATACTTGGACAACAGGAAGATGTGGTCCTTACAGATAAGAAAGAGTGAAAAGGGGACATTATTTACAAATCTGGAAAACTAACATGGGTAAAAATTTCTCCAGCTTTCTGTTTAAGTTTCTAAATCCTCTGAGGGCAAGGGTATTATCTTCATCACTGTAAAGTCCCAAACTTTTAATATAGTGACACGTACAGCTCAGATGGCGATATAACCGAGTTGTGATGCTTTTGAGAGTTAAAAGTCCCAGACACTGAGTGTAGAGGTAGCAGATGGGGCTACCCCAGGTGAGGCAGGAACCTGAGATGTGTGGACACACTACACGTAGGCGTTCAGTAGGTCCTGAAGGAGAGGGAGGAGTAGAGGTGTGAGAGTCTTAAGAGCAGGTGTCAAAATTGAGTATAACATACACCTCTTTTATCACCAAACAGTAACAGAGAGGAAAGAGGTGCAGCTGTCTCCCGGGTTACGATCTCCAAATATAGTGCACTGCTCATGTCTAGTCTAAGGCCAGGTCTGTGGCACAGGGGACTTTACTGATGGGCTGTTGGAGACAGCGGGAAATATATTGAGGGTGTTTCTTCAAGAATGTCTTGCATCATCTGAATAAGGAGATTTTTCAGAAACAGGGAAGGTTCTGTATTTACAAGATATAATATGAGAACTACTCAGTGAGTCTGCATGTACATTTGTTGCCAGAATAGGGAATGTGAGCAAAAAAAGGAAATGACTCAACAAGTATAGTCCTTACAATTACATTTCTCTTTCCGTTCTTTTTCCATTTGGACATAATGTTGGGTGCTTGTCCTTGTGTCTTTAGTCAGTAAGCCAAATTTTGCAGCTGGGGAGCTTTGTAGTGGGAAATCAGCTAATTTGGGTTCAGACGCAGTAGAATAACCTTGACTTGGTTTGAGTGCTGTGAGTCAGATGTCACCGAATGGTTTATTTTGGGCATATTTTCGTTGACAAGGGATTTATGACTCTGCATTTTTATCTCTACTTATCATCTGCAGTATAAACTAGCAGCCTGATGGAAAACAGCAAGTAGCTACAGAACTGAGAATGCCACTTTTGATTTGTGAGCAGAAGATACATTCTGCATTAAGCCTGTCCTTAATCTTCATCTCCCCTTTCTTCCAGCTAAGACTGCTAAGACATTGAAAGAACAGCTGTTCAGGACAGGAAAAAATAAGAACACCCATGTATGCAACTTTCATGAAATAAAAAAACAAAACAAGCACATGACCTATTTTAAAAAACTACACGAAAAGTATGACAGTGTTGTATAGGATCCTCACACTGAATTGTTATTCAGAAGTATGTAGTCTAAATAAAGAAGCTATCAGAAAGGGTGGCAGTAAGAATTTTCAAATAGAGGGATTAGAACAGGAAAGGCAATTTATTTTTCATTTTATATTTCATTGCAAAAAATTAGAAGGTACAAAGTTTCATTAAAATACAAACAATATACATCAGAGGTGGTTTCCTTCACTAATGCAGGTTAAACTTCACTGGGGGTTTAAAGGGGGATTTTATAACTAACTTGATACTTTTTTAAGAACTTGAAAATACTCTTTGGAGGTTATCTTATGTCACTGGATGCATATATTTATTCATTATTATAAATCACAACGTGTGAAGGTTTTCAGAGTCAGCAGTAATACCCATAGAATTCTTTGCTTTATTTTGACACAGGTCTTTTTTTTTTTTTTCCCCTCTGTATCTGCCCTTCAGTTTTCTCAAGTTGGTTTATACATCAAAGAATATATGCATTTTATGGTTTAAAAATTGACTCTGGGCAACTTAAAAATGCGTTTTTGAAATAAGACATGGTGCTGACTTCATCAGTTGTACCATACCCCCCTTTAAAGAAATGCTTCTGAATGTGACAGTCTATACGCTATTTCATGCTAAAACCTATCCTGAGTAACCTAGCACATACCAGCCTTGTGTTTTATATTTCCATGTGTGAACTAAAACATAGGTAATAATAGCATAAAGCAAATGAACATGTGTGTTTGTGTTATATGTAATACAAACTGTACGTATGCGACATAGTTACAATATGTATCATCTGTCATACAAAGCCTAGCCCTTGGTACTTGGCAGAACACAAGGAAAATGTTTGCGTGATGGATTAGCTTTCTTCAGTAGACCCTTAATTAGCCATGTAATCCCACATAGTAATTATCTTTTATCAGGCTCAAATGAGAGTGATATTTAATAAACTGGAGCAGCACTGTGGAGAGTTGCCCGAGGCATACTTCCTGGATGAAAATGGAGCATGCTTTTTAAAAGCTAATAACTGCATGCTTTCATGAACACACAGTTGAATGCTGTGACTGTTGATGTTCCATACCTCTGGCTTCTGGTAAATGAGGACTATAAACATAGCATCCCTAATTGGGAAGAGAAAGAAAACATTCAACATAAGTCAAACCCGGAAGTCCCTGGGGACTTGGAATCTCTCCTGGATCTTTATAATTTTTGAAGCTGACATGAACTATTCCCTCCCTGTTCTTCGAGGAAAAGCTGTAACAATGGATAGACAGATCAGTTCTGTTTCAGTAAAACAAACATCAAATTAAGGAAAAGTCTTAAATACCCACTCTTTATCTAGAAGCCTTGGATAAAATTTTACATAAGACCCATAATTCAGCATTTTCCAGGGCATTGAGTACAGTACCTCCTCATCTTTGTTTTTGGCCTTGCTGCTCCTCTTTATAAATTATGTGCTAATTATAAAGTACAGCATGGTCATTAGAAGCCAGGTTTACATTTAAGATATAGGGAAACACTACTGATAATATCAGATTATCAAGGATTGACTACCATGACTTGAAATATTAAAAATTAAAAATTTCAAAAACTTAAGAAAAAAAGACAGATTATTTTTAGAGGTTATTTTCACCAAATAATTGATTTGAAAAATAGATCTGTTACTTTACTGGCAGAAAGTGTTGAGGTTATTAAGAGAAACCGTCACTGAGTTGTCATTTATATCAAAACGAAAAATCTTGAGTTCTTAGAAATACATGTTCATATTGTTTTTAATTAGAAAAAAATGATGTTTACTTGCCTTTGAGTCAGTTGTTGCCAGTATCTTCTTAAATTAGTAGATAGCGAGTAGATTGACAAGAATAGTAATTTGTTGAAAGAATGGGAAAACTAAGGAAATACTGCTTTTATTTGTGTTGAATCCTATGAATTAGAATGGGAATAAAGTCAATAGCAGGCACTTTTAATTAGCTACTGTGTACCTGTTTTCTGATTAACATAATGTAGATTCATATTTCTAAATAGCCAAATGCAGTCTTAGGTGGAAATGATTCAGGATAGGAACATATGCCTGTATCTGAATAATATGCAGACAAACTGAGGCATAGCTATTCTGCTTGTTTATAAAGTGGTGTTCCTCATTTAAGCATCTGCAACATATTTTGAACATAGAATAAGTTTGAGACATTCAATCTCACTAGAGAAAATGTATTCATTAGTATTTTTTTAAAAGAAAAAACATCATTCGTTGTGTATAATTGTGACTCAAGAAATGAAATGGTAGCTCTGAAGGCAGGAAATCAGCGGTGGCACTGCTTTGTGGTAACCTTGGTTAACAATTTGCAGTCAGTGGTTAAAGTCGTAACCTAACAGAAAATAGTGTATTTTCTTCATGGAGAAATTAAATCTCTTGCTAGAAGTAGATAAAAGGAACTTATGTGAATGTGATGGCCTGTTGGTGCTGCATTAAAAATGATGGCTGATTGTCATTTCAGAATATCTGACTGTGTTCTCTCAGATGATTGCCTTCCATGACCCGGAGCTGAGTAACCATCTCAATGAGATTGGATTTATTCCAGATGTAAGTACTTGGTACGGTAATAGGAAATGAGTTCCAAATAGAAAGTAAAATTGGCAATACAGAGTGCTGTTTTTAAAGTTTCTGTCATAGAAATCCATATGTGAACAAGTTCCTGCAACCAGTTACAGTCCTTGTCTACAGTTTCCGCCTATGGTCTTACTATAAGTGACAGGATATAGCTTAGATCCTCTGGCCTGTTGAAGAAGCAGAAAGTTTGAACTAAGTGAATTCTTATAGAGCTTCTCCTGAGTTTGGTCAGATACGTTACCTTGGACTTGGCCAATTTTGCCTTCCTTTAGCTTCTCAGCAGGCCACATCCATGTGCTCAAAGTCAGAGGTCATTCAAAGTCATTCATACAGATTACCAGGTCTCCTTGTGCTGCATGATGTGGGGTCACGCCTCTTTTAAAGGCACTTGGCAGGAGGCTTTGTAAACCTCTTCCCTCTTAAACTTTGTTTACTGATTATGCCCTTCCTCTGAAGACTTACTGTGGAGGCTCTCATGTTGGTGGTCCAGATCAGGGGTGAAAATGTTCACATTAACACTCAAATTAGTGCATTTAAAGTATTAGAAATAATGTTTTTGTAAGAGTTATTTTATTTATGTATCCAAGATTGCGGTGTAGGCCAGAGGTGCAGGGGTTAAGGGAGGGAACAGTGGGGAACAGAACAGGCAGATCTATTGAAACACACTTCTGAGGGGGCAGTGGGGAGATAGGAGAGATCTGCTGCACCATGTGGGTCAGCTCTCTGGCCAGGGATCAAACTCATGCTGTCCTGGCTGCAGAAAACTTCACAGTGCTGAGACTTAACCCCTTGTACCACCAGGGAGGCTCCACTAGCAATAACTCTTATAAGTCCTTACAGAGTGCTTCGAAGTTAAAAATATATTCACAAACATTTCATTTGACTCTCAAAGCAAATCTGTAAGGTGTATGAAGCAGATAACTTCGACATTTAGTAGTTAAGAATTTTAATATTTGGGGAGATAGCAGTAACATGTGACAATCCTCTGTCCCTAACTGGTTCATCTTCTGCTGGGAGAATAGAGGTCAGCACAATGGGTGTAGTTCCTCCCAGGTCATTGCCCTGTAGGCTGTGGTCAAGACTGTAGCCACCATCCTTAATGCAGACTGTGCCATCTGCTCCTAGGCTTATCCGAGTCCCTGGCTTGTTTAATAAGTATTCCAAGGAGAACATATACAGATTAACAAGCTAATGAAAGAAAATAACCAGCCTTGACAAAACTTGTAAAAAAATTAACCAGTTTATATATCATTATATAACTATATAATCTTTCCTGTATCACATTGTAAATTTGAAACAGAATACAGAATAATTCTCAGTTCAAGTTTATGACTAGAGTTGAAGAAATTATGGTGGAACTGCTGACTCCAAATTGGTAACTGTGTGAGCGTTTCAAGGACAAACAAATACTAATGCTAAGATACAGTCTAAATGGAGGAATAATTATTTTCAGAAAAGTGTCTTGAAAGCCCCTAATTGTACTCACTACCGAAAAGAAAACTGACATGAATTTCCATCAGTGTTGGTTTGACAGAAAATGTATATTAGAAAGTATGTACGGGATTATCCAGATAGTGTATTAAATCCTTGGACATGTTCATGAATATAGATGGTATTGAGGATGGAATCACAAGGGGGAAAATAATTTATCTTTGCTTTAGTTAATCAGTAAAATTGAACCCTGGATCAATATAGTGTCAGAAGCAGTGGGGAGCAAAATCACTTTGTGAAAACATGATACCGTGACGACACATTAGGGTTTACTGTGTGCCCAGCACTACTCATGCCCTTTAGGTAAGCCATCTAATCCTCACAAGTTTGTAAATCTAATGTCTGCCACGTATTTATATATAGCTGATATGGAAAAGACTAATGGCAAAATGGAAATACAATATGAAATAACAATTACATCAAATGTAAGAGTAGGTAAAAACTCAGCGAAACATGTCCAAATGTCATTGCCTTCTTGGAGGGGAATATAAATATGCTCATTATATGTAGACCCCAAGTCAGGGCTCCTGCAGATCAGGGATTTGATTTGACCCTACTTAATAGCCAGTACATGAGCCTATTCCTCTGTCATGAATACCGGCTGAAAGCGCAAGATTCCGAGGCTCCTGGGTCAGAGACACAACACAGGCTTATTCACAGCACAGCAAGTAGTTTGAATGTGAGCATGTATGTGCTGGTTTCCTGTAGCCCCCCTCCCTCCTGAGAGGGTCAAGGGTCCAGTTGATGCCTGCATATACCACAGCTTGCTTTATAAAAGAGGAACCCTGAATTGGGGGAATTTGAATTTTTTTTTTTAATGGACAGTGAGCCTGCCTTTCCTTTGTTCTGGAGAGAGAGAGAGAGAAACACTACCTTATTTCTTTCAAGGGTATAGGTTAATCTGTTCTTTGCTGCAAAGGGGAGTCTATCTTTATTTTCCAAGGCTTTTTTTTTTTTTCATATGAAAAGATAATTTAGAACCAAGTCATCAGTATCTCTGTTCAGAAAAAATGCAAAAGTACAAGAATGCATAAACTTTAATGGTAATTATGAAAAGAAGAGAAATAAAATGTGTAACTTTTAAATCAGTCGAAAGGATAGCAAAATTCAAGCAGTCCTGTAAAACCAGAAAGAACACATAAGGAATGTAGACTAATCAGATTGCCGACTTAAAGGGAATTTCAGCTGTTTAAGAAAATCAATCTATGCACTCTGTATAGAAGATAAAAATTTCAAGATATTGGTAAAAGAAAATAAACATGGCAGGCTATTATTAACCAAAAGGCAATTAATGTAGTGATAATAGTGTCATCTACAACACAGAAAACACAACAGACCCACCATCTATGGAACGTGGTGGCTGACAGAGATCACTCTGAAGCCCTTGAGAAAGACTGTTGAATAAGGGTCCTGATGCAGTTGGGTAAATGCATAATAGAGGTGGGAATCAAAGCCAAACCCCACATCATACATAAGGACAAAATGTGGGCCCTAAATGTGAAATGTCATGTTTATAATTTCTATTAAGAAGGAATTGTTACAGAAGTAGAAGACCTAAATTTAAAGAGAGAATCAGAATTGAGTGGCACAAAGGGGCCTTCCGTTCTATTGCGAATATATGAATTTGATGTAAAAGTTTTCAAAGTAATTTGGCAAAAGGTATGTTCAATCTGGATGGACACTACGTTGGTGCTTATAATGTGCTGCTACCTGGGGCAAGTTAATTTTCAACAGTTTTGAAATCATATTTTGTGCTTCCCTTTCCGCTACGATCCCCTCACATAGTTACTGGGGCATTTTTAAGCAACTTCTTGTGGGGACTTCAATGCCAGTATCATCAGGAGGGCAGTATCTGTGTGTGGTTAGTCTGTGACTCATTCATAAGCCATGTGGACAGGGGTCAGTTCAGATGGGGGACACTGGTGAGCATTTGGCAAATCATGAGCATCCTCAACCCCACCACTGTGGCCTGTGAAGTTACCTGCATCATGACAACAAAGTGCTCCCAAGTCTCTCTCTGAACAGTGACAACATGCTCGTCCAAACACTCTCAGAGGCACAGTTCTGCCACTCCGGAGAATGCTGGTGTAAACGAGGAAACTGAGGGCACTGAGCATACATCTTCGCCTGGAGAAAATGCCTGTCTGTGCTCTTCGCAGAGAGGATGGGCAAAGTGAAAGGCACAGCAAAACCAAAGTGAAGAGGTTAATAGAAGATTTGTTTTTCAAGTGCCAAGTGCTGTAATCTGCTTGATTGTTATTTTTGTTTTGTTGGCCTGCTTTTGAAGTCTGTGCAGAATATGAAGTGCTGTGTCTGTTGTTAAATTAATTTTATGAACAGATTTGATGTTTTTAAGGTAGGGATTGTTGACAATGCGAGAGGGTGTGATGAGATGCAGCATTTTTCTTGCTCTATTAGTAATCACTTGTTTTTGTTGCATTTCATTTGTTGGTGTGTGCAGAACCTTCTTTTCCTCCCTTGAATTGTCTTCAGAATTCCACCTTTAAAATGCTCATTTAGGCAGCTTACTGTGCCTCTAGTAATGCAGGCTAGGACTCTGCAAGGGGAGGAGAAGCGCTGTAGTAATGAAACCCCAAGCTGGGTTTCCTGCCAGTAACTAATCCTATCACCGCCAGCGCCCATTAATCTGCCGTCACCATCGAGCATGGCTCCCAGTGCAGGGAGATTGACTCCTGGCTCCTTCCCATTTGCCGAGGGTCACAGAACTCTGCATCCTGAGTGACGCGCAGCCAGAATTGTTAGGAGTTGTGTGCACTGATGTGATGCTTCAATTATAGATGTCACGGCAGTGATGTGATTTACATATAAATAGGTCGAGTAATGTGTATTTGACAAAATTGAGGCCAGGCTGATTTTATCATTTTTGCCTTGGTGTATGTTTCCACTTCTGAATGTATGCCAAGCCCGAATGAGAGCAGGAAAGTGCCTTCTTTATTCCTAAGGAAACTGTTTTCCTAAAATGCCAGCAATAGCATTCAGCTTGCAAATTATGAAAAACTGTCGGCTGACCATTAAGAAAAATGCTGAGGCCGTACCTCAGTACTAGCTGTGCGTGGAAGTGATGATTGCTGCTAAGGACTGAGCTGATATCTTCTGCGACAAGCAAGTCTGCATCGGAAGTGCTGTCCTTCCCCTGCAGTCCTCAGGGTCACTCCACTATGCCAGATCGCCTTCCTTAAAGCTTGTCACTACCACTTTCAAAATTTGTATACAGTTGAGTTTATCCTAACAGAACATGTGAATGAAGTGCTTAGAAATACTTACTGCTTATTTTTGTCTGTTCTTGTGTTCCTTCATTCGTCCCTGACTTCCTATCATTATTTTAACATACAGAAATTTTATATTTTATTCTGAAAAGACTTCTGACCATGAGCTTTTGAGATTTTACCAAGATGTGGCCCAGGGTAATGACAAAGGTGATTTGTTACACGAGGAGTCCCACTGATCTGTCCGAGGCACCT